AATGAAAAAAATACCTCACAGCAACGCCGGCATTCCAGCAGAGCGAAACTGAAAATCAGAATTGTAATTATAATTTTATGGAGATTGTATATAGGAGTTTGCAATGTTAGAAGAATAGTTGATTCTAGCCCAGAATTTAGCCCAGAAATACACCATTTTCTGTTCAAATCTCCCTCCCTTATCTTTGCAACTAATCATTCTTGTTCAGAAGCGAAATTACTTGATTAAGGTAATATTCTATAAAGGATAGATTTCTTTTATAAATATAACTATTCTTTATCTCAGCATTGTTTTTTTGCATACTATATATTAGAGTATTTCTTTAATATTCATTATGGATAACATCGTTTTTTATCAACCTGTTCCGACTCCAAATAGTCAACCTCCTTGGTTATCAAATACACTTTTATCTTCAATTTAATCCAGACTATCTTCTGGTGTATATCTTCAAGCTTATCATGCTGTTTTCCAATCTTCTGAGCTGGAGAAGATTTCCAGAATTTGTATAACTACAACTAAAGATGTAAATCATTCTATTCACGGTATGTATCAGAAATAAATTCAGGTTTTGAATAGAAGATTTAGGAAAACAAATACTCTATAAACAATACTAACAAGTTTCTGAATATAAATAAACTTTCCTTAACAAATATAGCAGATAAACCTATAACCTTGGACTTCGAAGCTATAACTGAAGCAGCTATAGATAGATATAAGGATATCAATTCTATTAATTCAAGCTATTTAGCAAAGGGAAATATTGAATATGAATATACCTTACATCTGAATATAATTGAAAATTTTTACTGATACAATACCAGATGTATCTGTATTGAATAACAAAGAATCTTTGAATATCAATGATCTTGAACTCAACCTCGCAGATCAACTTGTTGAGAATGATATAGATGATATCAGCCTTCACTCGGGATCCATACACAACAACTTTGATTTAGACAAAAGCTTTATATTCTAGTCTTCTACTCCAGTTTTAGAATCAACATCTTCCGATTATGGATCTGTTGCATCCCCAGCCAGCGAGCCACACATGAATATCGATATTGCTGAAGGGAAAATGGATTGTATCGATCTCGATACCACCAGTAGTTTGTGTAACGATCCAACTTTACGATTGGGTTCAGTAATAGTATCTCTTCACCAGCCAGACGGAAAGAACGATACTTTGCCATACCTTAGGCCACGACGTTTCAAATCCACCAACCCTGACCCTAATCTCTATGAAGATTGAGAAAGAGTAATGGAAGAGGAAGAAGTAGTAGTAGTAGCAGTGGAAGAAGAAGAGGTAGCAGTGGAAGAAAGAGAGGGTAGAGGGGTAACCCTCTTATAACTCTTGATATTCATATTTTCTTATCATATGCAATGCGTATAATAAGCGGGCATTGGTCCCCAGCATTTGTTTTCACTTCCCCAAATCGAACATATTCCATTTTTGTAAAATAAAAAGTTATCTGCTAGCGCCTATAGGGTCTAGCCGTCCTATATAGTCTTAGACTGAAGATGGACGTAAATTAAATCAATCAATCAATCTATGAAGATTGTCAGGAGTTGAGTGATATCGTCAATTCCAATAAATCTGGTCAATCATATTCTAAGAAATGAGCACGACAAATGAGTGAGACGGAGGTCGATGCCGCAGAAGGTTCTCCAACTCATTCGCTTGATACACTATCCAAATTAAATGACGCAACCTCTTGTGACGGTGTTCAAGAGAGCCAAGAGGTTCCTATTGATAGCCACTTTATACTCAAGATAATCAGCTTCAAAATCTTGTATTGTGTTACTTTTTCTCAAGAATTATCATCGGATCTTCAAGAAACCGATATCAAAGAATCTTTATCAATATCTTTATCTATAGACCCCGAAGAACAATAGGTGATGTGCAAAATCAGCGGTGAGAAAATGGTTGGCGATGAAAAACATTATCATGTGGAGTGGGAGGATATATAGATATCTGAATCTGTATTAGATGAGGGCAAAGAGCTGATAGATGCATTTCTGATCAATATCACAAGCGTTAAGAAGCAGTCTTTGAGGCAAGGACAGCCAGTCACTACACTGTCTGATAATAGTGATCCAGAAGAGCCAAAGCCAAAGAGGCAGCGAGGGCGATCTCAGAAGTATATGTGAAGTCATTTGATTTAGAATGAAAGTTGCTTTAGGAAAAGAAGGTTTACTATTATATATAAAGAGTAATATCGTTTTACAAACAATTACATTAGATCTTTGTTTACTTTCCTTCTCTATTTGGTATAATATAACAAACAATCCTAGTAATACCAACAGCATTTGTTGAGTAATTTCTAATTAATTCAATGGCTTTAATAACACAGAAAGTATAAGAACATAGATCCTCTCCTTCTCAAACTTGAATCGAATTTCATACCTTTCATTTCAATCTATACTTATATCCTGATACACAAATCACAATAACATCAAGATACGCCAACATCAATCTCGCGCCAACTGGTTCTTGCTATTCAAATCAATCAAAGCTTGATCATGTAATCAATAGCTCAAGAAAAAGATCATTCTCTCCAGATGGCTCTCGAGGTATGTAAATAGCAAAACATACATCTACTATTGTATTAATCATTGACCAGAGTATCCTATCATCATTGGCGATAATACTAAAGCAAAGATCAGGCCGAAAGAATCACTATAGAAGAAACGACGAAGTAATCAGCCGGATCTCACAAGCTTTGTAACTAGAAAATTCTCTGAGTTCAACCAACTTTTGAAATCGAGTAAGAAAGTTATTGTAATCAGTAATACAGGTATTTCAGCTAAAACTAGTTGTAAGTATATTGTTTCCATTTCTTGTTTATATCATTAATTTGTATAATTCCTATATTCGAGGAAATAAGGAAATCTAAACAAGCTTTCCATCAGTCTTTGTACTCCTCCTTCAGTGAAACAGTTTCTTTCCATGCAACTATCTACAGCATATTCGAAACCCTATAATCTATTGAATACCAACCAACTCCATTTCATCGATTTATAGATAATCTTGCAAGCGAAAAACGTCTTTTTCGTTATATCACACAAAACATAGATTGCCTGGAGAAGAAGTCTCCCAATCTGAACACAAAAACCTTACGACTTCATGATCAGATCGACCAGATGAGATACAGTATATGCCAAAAGATTTATACATTCCAGTCTCATCTCTTCGTTGGGGCCAATCTATCTAATTATCCTCAATACACTCAAAAAAGCCAAGCAAGGGTATGGAAAGGGCAATGATCACTTTCTATCGGCATATTGAAACCCAACATTCTTTTGTACAAAGATCTACATCCAGAGGATGATAGAATTTTTGATGTTATTGATCAAGATCTTGAAATATGTCCCGATTTAGTTTTAGTTGTTGGAACGAAACTCAAAGTACCTGGAGCTCGAGAAATTGCTATCAAGATGTGTGAAGGTGCTCGAAGTGTTGGTGGTAAGAGTGTATGGATTGGGTATGATAAACCATCATCAAAATTTGATTTTGATTTTGTGATTGCTAGAGATTGTCATGAAATTTAAGGGTATCAAAGTTTATATATAGCTTTTATATATTATTGTATCAGGAATGAGGTTTTTGAATCGTTTGAATTTATCAGTTGGATCAACAACAATATGTATTTGTGTTTAAATTTTCGATATCTGCAAGAGTCTGAGCGACTCCTTGGATATTGAAGTTGGGAAGGTTAACTGATATAGAAATATGTTTTATTATTACAGTAAACAGGATATATAGCGATAGTATCTTAGCAACGAAATCCCCCCGACTTTTCGGTAGGGTAAAAGTGGCATTAAATAAAGTCTGATATAGAAAGAAGGAATGCTTTAGCAATTACCGGTATATAATTATATCCTAAATATTCGCAAACAATAATAAGAATGGTTTTTTGTTCTATTTATTTATCTTCATACAACATACTCATCACTGCACCTGGCTAGATCTTTTGCTGCCAGTTGTCTTGGTAGTAAAAAAGGTAATGAAGAGTAATAAGGGTGAAAAATGACCGCTAAGAAAGTGGGGGGGAAGGTAAAACCCATTATATTCCCTGTAATCATTATCCTTTCGAAATACATTATAAAACTCGATACAATATATTCGAGATTGTTGAATCTTCTGGTATAATCGTTAACCAAAAAATCTTCATTCCCAATTTATCTTTTTATGCCGAGCGAGATTTGACCATTTCAATCTCTTACAACAACAAACCAACAATTTTCTGTATCCTATATGAATCTGATTCTCCTTGGGGAGACAGCTGATGGATAAGTCTCAGAGAGTTCTCAATGTAATAGCGAAGTGTATAATCGCTATACAAAGTTTCTTGATTTGTATAAAAAAGCATTAGAATATATTCTGATTGTTTGTATTGAATAATATTAATATAATCAAAGCAAATATTATATTTTCATTTTATATACCTAAGAATATAAAGCCATATATTCACCATTATCTTTGAATCATCAGTCTCAGACATCTTGAGACTCTTCCGAATAACTGTCAAACACTTCCAGACATATTCTCCATATCCCTGTGTCTCCAGTATCTTATCATTATTCTCTAGTATATAACGGAATGAAGGGCGATAAATAATGATCTCAGTATAATACAACAACTTCTTGTGTTGTATTTCTAAGAAACTGGAGCTCGATTGGCTGTAGATACCTTGGAAACGTTTTTCTGCCTTCTGGGTAGTTCTCAGCCATATTATCAAATCATTCTTCTGAAGTGGCAATGCGAGTCGTATAATCTTGAGGAGCTGGATACAGAAAAGAAGAGAATCGGTCCCAATACTAACGTTCAATTTCGCTGGTAAAGATACAGACTCCATCTATTGCTAAAGGTTACTTTGAGGAAACATGTCTTTGATAAGATTTTCACTATTGATGGTCAGTTTTCAATCCCAGTTATGAATACTATCACTAGCTTACCTTTCTAACTCTATGTATATCCAATAAATAGTCCAAAATTCCGTCTATTTGCAGTAATTCGGGTCGTGGTAGAATGGGTCGTAATGAAGCATCTCAATAATGTAACCGGCCTTCCACATGAATTCCCTTCCAAATGAAATATCGCTAGCCTTATTCCAATATAAAGCGAACAAGATATTCATTTTTGTTAATGTAAACTGTGGAATAGAGCAGAATTTACTAATTTGGTGTGTAGCCTCGAAAGGTTTCGATCCTTCAGTGTTTGTTGTTTCCGAATTGAAGATTTTGTCCTGTTGCGAATTGATCTGAGCCAATACAAGAACAGCCAGTATCATACCATAGTCTATTGGTTTCATTTCCTTAGGCGTCGATGAAATCACAACTTTATTTTCAGTTCCTGGATATCCCCTAATCAATCTTTCGAATTCTGTAGCTAGAATCAAAGGAAACAAAATATTGATTTTGATTTGATAATAAATCATCAACTCGTTGTATCGCATTTTGGGTAAACAATATCGATCTTGGTCGAAGTTGCCCTGTTGGATATTGAGACTTAAGATAGATGTGAATTCTTTATCAAGGATACTTTCATCAGGTGTGAAAATATATCCGGGTGTATTCCTGGTACTGCTATTTGGATTGTTCGTCTTAGATCTCCATATCGCAATTGCTGATGTGTTGCCTGCATAACCGAATTGGAATGGGGAATAGATATCCAGCACTTGATCACAGTTCTGTGCTCCGCTCCCTGATAGTAATAATGATGATATTGGGTGAATGATAGACATTGTTTTGTTCCTGTTCAACACAAGTTAGAAATGGATTGATTTAAGAAAGTTTGAATTTTCTCTGCTGTTTATGTTTTCTTGTTGCAAATAATAGTTATATAAACAAATCTTTTGGTAGCATTATCTTAGAGCTTTGATTGATTGAGAACACCAGACCAAGCTGCTTCCCGGAATAACAAGGAAAATTATAATCAAATAGTATTATACATAATCCTATCAAAGATCCATCCTTATAACACTAATATAAGGTAATTATTATTGAATGAATAAGGTGGAAAGAAAACAAAGATTCAGTATTCCAATAACACATCTTTATTCACTTTTTTATAGTTTTTTCCCAGTCTCGAAAAAGATATATAATTCCTGGAACCTCCACATTTATACTTTCTTATCTTGTTGGATGTTTTGAGGGAATCAGAAATGATAACCCTGAATGTAAGAGGATGACGATTCACAACGATGCCGGTAATGCATTTCGGTCTGAGCTCGACAATGAGTTCTGGGAGATATACAATCGTATTCTGAATAGTATTCTGAATATTGATTTCATGGCAAAGAAGACTCAAATACTTAAATTACTTTCTAGGTTTATTCTGTGACTTGATTCCTTTGATATCGCTTGTATTAGATCCAAATTGATTACACTCCATCAGTAATACAATATATGTATACTTCTGATGAGGATATGGATTAGGAAAAGTTCTATAGACATATACAGTTCTTTGGCATAATTGAAAGAAATGCTTGATAGATCTATATTTCACAAAGAACCTTGGACTTGGAAGAAAGTATAGTTATGAGATAGGAGAATAAATAAAAGATAATCAAAATGTAATATTTCATAAAGACAACAAAGATATATAAAGGAACAATAATTATTATTATCCTTCTCATCCTTCTCTCCAATTATATCACCAACTATTCCTCAATAGGACATTAACATATCTTTGTATCAGGATATTATATCTCCATATTGATTTCGCACTCCGCTATTCACTTCTCAATCTACTCCATCTATTCTGATGATACGAATTATATTGTGATTGAAAGTTACGGATTTATAACTATATGACTGAAACTTCGAGTAAGATACGCTAAAGGACTTTTTGTATAATCCTAATCAGTATAATAATTGCGAATGTAGCCCCAACTGTATTTATTCCTTTCAAAATCGATTGAACAGCCAGGGACGTTTTTGTGTAAATAGAAATGGATGTAGTTTGTTTATTTCAACGAATACAGATACTTTTTCAAAAAAGAATCAGAATCGAAGAATGCTTTATTGAAAGCTTCGAATATAATCTTTATCACAAACAAAAGAGATTCTTCTCGTCTAGTCGGAAGACCCAGGAAAGTAAGGATACAGGGTTTTATATCTGCTAATCTATTAGTGCAGGATACATTACAGGAAGATTCATCAGAACAGGATATTCTACAAGATTCAATAGAACAGGAAGTTTTACAAAAGTTAAATATAGATACAGTCAGAAATTTATTGAATATCAATTGTAAATATCGATTGAGGAAGATCTTCAATAACAAAGTTGTATAATAAATAAATACTTTGAAAATTGTCATTTAAGATACTGAAGGTTCTAATCAAGAAAATAATCTAATGGTGCTTTTTGAGGCAATTGAACTAGAAGACATTATGCGAAAGGATGCTCAAGTATGGATAGAAGCAATAAAGTCAGAATTGACTAGTCTTAGAATCAATGGCACTTTTGAAATTATACAGGGTGAGGTTCAAAAAGGTATGAAACTACTTAGTTCGAGATGGATCCTATGGAACAAACTTGATTGTCTTGGACGCTTGGCTAGGCGAAAAGCGAGGCTGGTTATCAAAGGATATATACAACGCTTTGGCATAGACTTTGGAGAAATCTTTGCAGGAGTTAACAGGAATTCCACATTACATACTCTTCTTGTGAAAGCTACGGCTGAAGATCTTGAAATCGATAATATAGATATCGATACCGCTTTTCTGAATGAAGAGCTCATTGATGCTGAAATATTAATAAAGATTCTACAATACTTTGAAGAGGCTTTTCCAGAGATTAAGGAGATGCTTAAGAAAGACCCTCAGAAAACCAGAGTTTATTTGAAACTCAAGAAATCACTTTACGGGTTAAAACAAGCTCTATGCGTTTGGTGGCTGGCTGTAAAGAAGTTCTATAAAGAATTGGGATTAGTCGCGTCTTCGGCGGATCCAAATCTTTTTATTGGATAAGGAATCTATATTCTTTTATATGTAGATAATCTACCAATCGTCAGCAATCGAGATAATGTCAATAAGATGAAAAAGTTGGTTGGAGAACGATGGAAATACAAGGATTTGGGAGCCACAGATCTCTTTCTAGGTATCCAGATAGAGAGGAATCGCCCGAAATGTTTATTAAAGATTTATCAAGCCAATTATGTCAGGAAGATACTCGGACACTTCAAAATCTATGGTTTTAAGAAACAGAATCTACTTTTATCAGCTGGAATATTTATAAAGAATGCAAAGGATTCTGAACTTCTAGGAAAGGACAACAAAAATCTTTATCTGCAGATTATAGAATCAATAATATACCTAGCAAACTGCATTTGCCCCGATATTTCCTATATTGTAGGTTAACTAGTACAAGTTATGTATGCTCCTAAAGAAAAGTATTTAATTTTAGTAAAGCACCTTTTACAATACCTTACAAACAGTCCCAATATTGATATAATCTACTCCAATAGATCAAAGGAACAATCTTATGAATATAATGCATTTACAGACTCGACATAGGGTTTAACAAACGATAAAAAGTCAGTTCAAGGAGTAGTTATTATAAGATATGAAGGAGCTATAGTTTGGTCTTTTACAAAACAGAAGTCTACATTGTTATGTACAATGGAGGCAGAGATTATTGCAACTAATAAAAAAGCAAAAGAATTTGCATAAATAGAGAAACTTGTTACTGATCTGAAGGAACGCCTAGAAGTTGGGTTATTTATTCCTATTTTTTACTATAACAATGAAAGTGGGGTAGATTGGATGAACGAAAACAAGTTTCATAGCAAGGCAAAGTATATTCAAATCAGATAATACTATATTTGTAAAGATATGGTTGATATAAAGCGAATATATATGATGTAGATTCTAGGAATGAAACAAATAGCAGATATATTCACAAAACAACTTATTTACCCAGCATTTTGTATTCACAGCTTGGGGTTAGGTTTGGATTTTGAAGAAAAGTAAGAGTACTTTTGGACTACAACATGATAAACTTAATCATAGGATAGTCAAACTCTACAGGAGATTAGATATCACGATAATAACAGGGCTATAGATCGTTGCAGGAGTTAATGAGGCTTTAACAATTAGATTGAAAGTTGTGGTAAATTTGGTCAATTTATTTGGTCAAGTTGGTTAATTTCCAATTTGGTCAATTTGGTTAATTTGGTCAACTTCATATGAAAAGATTATTTTGTAGCATGTACTTCAGGATGATCAAGGTTTTGATTATAGGGGGGATGTTAGAAAGTTATGGGTACTACAGGTATCACAGTATTGTCTCTTTTTTGTATTCATTATTAGTGTATATTTTGTTTATTTATATACTCAATAATATAGTTTAGATTCTATACCTGAATATAATCTATATATACTTCTGACAAATGTATTAGGACAATGAAACAACAGATCTAAGTACTTTTGGTACTTTAAACGAATTCCTGAGTACTCCTTATTATTCCTAATACCAATTTAAAATATTCCTGTCCATTTCTAACCCCATTCTCAATTATCCCTTTCC